ATTTTAGATCACTAATAATTGTAATCCAAGAATACACAGAAAAATAAAAAATAAACTTTTTGTGCTAAACTTGTTTATTCCAACTAACAACTTGCATATTATCTAAGCATAATTTTCAAAAACAAGTGCTTAAAAACTTGCTTGACAATACCCTTTTAGAAAATTGGGGTAACCCCAACAGGATTAATGGGGATACTATGAAAAACGAAAACTAGTAAACCAGAGAGGAAAAGAGCCAGGAAGATTCCAACTCCCATTATAAATGATATATGACATAGTAATGTATTTAAAAGGAGACAAAGTGGAATAAGTAACGCCAAGAAAATTTTCAATAGCATTCCTTTTGATGTAAGTAATCCCCGTGGGCTCAGAAAATTCACACCCCGGCCTCTCCGCCGCCCCTTTTCTTTTCTTCGGGTCGTCGAGGAGAGCTTTAACATATAAGTTTCGAGGAAAATTTTTAGAAGACAGATTGGATTGTGAATAAGAAATCACCTAGAGATTTCTCCCTCATTTTATTAGAACTTTATGATCTAAGTTCAGGTTTCCTATAGGCGCAAACCCTTATAGTTAATTACCCCTCTCGATAAAGAAAGAGAACTTTTGATTAAGGCTAGTAATCAAACATATACATCTTATATGGTGTATAGTAGAAGCATAGTTTAGTATTTGAAATATAATATTTAACATTAGAAATTTGCCACCTTGTACTTAATGCGAATGGTGAGGGGAGTGATGATAGACCCCCCGGTCTATTTAGTTAGAGGAGATAGTCGACCCAACTTGATAGAAGGATCCTTTTTAGCAGCCATGAGTTTCTTCGTCCAATGATACATTGTAGACTTGGGATGAATATTTATCTAAGGGGATAAATTTGAATCCAACTTATCTTACATAGGGCTTTATGCCCTATCAATCATATCATATTAATTTATTACTCAAGAATTTGAAGCTATTGGGGAGCATATGGGCTCTATCAATGACCTTAATATAATTGTGTCATTTGGTTGCAAACCACCAAGTCACAGGGTCCCGGTAATAATTTTTTACATGTGGTGCCATTTGACGGCAAAATTATTAGTTAGAGAACATGTGCCACATCCTTACTGGTAAGATATAATTTGAGAATGAATCATAATGATATTATTGACTAAACATTCGCTCTTTGTGACTAAAGTGATTTTTATATTTATCCATCATGACAAATTATTGCGGATGGAGCATGTATATTTTGCTCTAAGTAGTTGATGCTTAATTTTAATTTTAAATATCATAGGCTTTTGATGATTTTTTAATTTTCAATTTTGTTGAGAATTTCAGAGGCACTTTGAATATTTGGGGTTCCCTCCGATTGAGGTTTCAGTCAACATGACCATTCGATTGAGGTTTCTGTCAACACGATCATCATCGGGGTTAACTTTATTGGGAAATTTTATTTTTTTGGTTAAACTTATTGAATCTATCAACTTGCCGAGAGGGGATTGAGTTCTTTGCTGGCTTTGTGCATTTATTAGTGAATTTTTTTATTATAAACCTTGAATGCCTAATATAAATGTATAAAATAAATATCCCGGTTGATATCACGATCATGTATTTGTTTGATAGTTCGAGATATATCAACTCCTATCTTTTCATGTAGAATGATCGGACTCAAACTTAAGTTCATTTTGACCCACGTAGTATCATTAGATGTTATGTCTGTGCATACATCACACTCGTCGGGGCTTATGCATGTACTCATATTTCAAATACATGAGGGGGGGGGGGGGTTATTTTGGAATATTTGCTCATAATCAATTGCACAAATAATTATTATTTAAAGAGTGCACAAGATTCTATTTTAAAATTTACAAATGCCTTTTGTCCGCTTGTACGAGTGTTTAGGATCTAGTGGCATGGCATTGTGCTTCAATGGCTTATGATTTTTTAGTTTTGATTCCTTGCTTTTCCTTATAGGTGAATTGTAGCATTTCACTATAGGTCGCTCGTTGCTTCTTCCAAGCTAGCTATTGTGCATCACAAGCTTTGTTTAACGCTGTTTTGTCTCAGCGCTGTGTATTCAAGAGTCACCAGTTATCATATGTAGGTTAATTGCGCTCAGTGCAACTCTTCAAATATTACTTGTACGTGTTTACATTTATCAAAACTCTTTCATATTCGCTTGCAAATAATATGCGGTGTATATGACGGGCCCCTTGCAACAGCTTGTACGAGTTTGCATTTGTTGTAGTCCTTCATTTTTTGTGATTTTCGTGCTTATACTTCCTACTGTTACTTGCAGATTAGCTGTATTTAAAGTCCATTTTCTAGTGCCGTCTACATGCATTTACATTTACTACAGCTATTTTGTATTTTGCCTATACATAACATCTTGGATGTATATATGTATTCATAATACCCATCACACCTGGAGCGTACCTACCATTGTTGCATGCGAGTATGCTCATTTAGTGTTGATTATCAGTAAATTATGTTCATTGCACTCACCCTTTCGACTATTTGTAAGGAGTAGTTCTCATTCATTGTATGTCGATCATCATCACTTGTACATGTATTATATACTTGTTTGCAAGTTGATTGACGTTGATTGTTAGAACATCGTACATTCATTGTGTATCTCCATACTCTGTTCACAAGAACATTCCTACATGTCTGTCGTTGAGCGGTTATTGACTATAAGGGTGCTATGACATTCACAACCTCTTGGTACAACATCTTCCCAAGTGTTTGTATGTATTAATACTATTTCTATTTTTCATGTATATGACTTGTTGTGTGTATATCTGTGTTTATAGAGGACCGACCATCCTTACAATATATCTATTGTCATTGCTTGTAGGGATTATGAGTTATGTGAACATTAGATATCAATTGCCCTCATTCGTACATAGCTTGCAATATTATTAAGAGACATTGTACATCTGTTTGCAATCAAATTATATATTCCCTCATATTTCATTGCTTGTAAGGCTGAATATATTCAACATTTGTTGCATAATGCAAACATGCTCATGTTGCTTGTGAATGTTGATTTGCAATTAGTTGAATGCTACAAATTGATCGAGTTTCATTATTCATCATCCGTGTGTACTGAGGGCTTTATTCACCACGAGTCCTTGTAATTGCCCATTGATATGCATTTGGATGACAAGGATTATGGGTTAGCATTTGCATTTTAATGTGATTACACAATTTAAAGTTTAAAGTTCGATTCCAAGTGATTGTTTAAGTTATGTTCCTACCAATTCATTAAAGTCCCTTATGGTTTTGTTCATGTTCAGTTCCTTTGCTCACTAGAAAATTAGACAACCTCCCAGTGTCTCTCCTGTTTAGAAGAAATTTGGGGAGCTTGACCTTCCCACAATGCTAAGAAAAACATGTATGGTAAATGTCAAGCGACACTGCGACTGCAGTCTTCAATCCCACCATGCTAAGAAAATTTTGTATTAATCTTTGAGGTACCTACTTGAAATGCATAGTTTTTCCCTCTTAGGTACGATGAAACATACACGAATACTTAAGAAGTGTCCCCACCATGCTAAAAAAATGTGTATAGGACTTACTAGCATCATTGTGAGCATCAAACTAGATTCCCTCCTACATGCTAATAAAAGCATATAAATGTAGTTTTTTGGCTCGCCGCAAACGCCAAAAGCATGATTTGAGGCTTTCTGAGTTGAGAATACATTATACTTGAGTGAACGAAGTCAATGGCGACCGTGTCGGGACAACAATGACAAAAAATGCACAAAGGTTTTCTTATTATTTATTATTTATTATTTTTAAAATATAATAATAATAATAGGGTGAGGTCGTGAGATCATATGAGGCTTACAAGCGGGTTGGGATCGATGATTAGCTGTTGGATTGGAGTGTATAGGGGGATAGACGACATCAGATCTCACTGCGGGAGCTTGCGAATGGCAATGTGGAAGAGTCTAGTTCGGCTAGTAGTCGCGTGAGGCAAGGATCGGAAGAGAGGGGTAACATCTGTGGTTGTTTGGGGTGGAGGAAGTCGGTTGCAGGAGATTGGAGTTTGATAATGGAGTATGAGCAAGGGAAGGATAGTTGAGGTGTGAGGCTGCTATTGTAGACGAGAGGAGGCTGTGGATTGGTGTGGGTGAAGTTCGGCTTGGGTTTAGACAAGATAGGAGGTTGTGGGTCGAGATCTGATCGAGGGTGAGAGGTCAGTTTGTGTGTTGAAAAAACAAAGAAAAGGGTATTCGTTCCTTCTCGTTTTAACGAGTGGGAGACGAAGAGAAGTTATGACGAGTGAGACCTAGCACGAGATTTACGTGAAGCGACAGTGTTGCGGCTAGGAAGGATTTCATCGAATTTTTTAAAATTTCAGTCGGATTTCAAGGATTAGTCGATAGATACAAGGTAACAAGGTAATTATGATTTCGATTAATTTTTTTATCTTTGCTGATTGATTTTATTATCACGGAGGTGACAAGATAAAGATAAAATTTATGCAACACCTCGATTTGTGCGTTGTTGCCTCAGAATTCACAACGATTTTTCCTGGGCAAATTTTGTTGAGCAAGATTATAATTGATTTTGGGTATTGTCGACATTCCGAATGCAATGGTGAAGTCAGTTTTCCAATCAAACGTCGATTGGGCAATGTCGCACTTTGATTTCGGGTGTTAATAATCGATTTTGGTCGTCTTCACTCGATTTGACTGCAAGAATTCCCTCAAGGGCGAATTCGATGCTCCGATCGCAACGGTGCTATCCGCTCGATATTCTGAGATCGTTTGAAACTTTGACCCTTTAAGTGATATATCATGCATCAATTTCGTCTTTCTTTCATGAATTTCTGAATTGTAGGTCAACATTCCCAAATAAGTGGAAGTTGCTATGAATAGTGACACTAAAGAGACTTGCATGGATACTATCCCCGCTAAAGATCTAAGGATATTCCACCATTTTTGTCTTTCAAACAATAACTTAGGGGGTTTTTAGGCCATTAACTAAACAGTTTCAAGTATTTAATTGTATTTAATATCTGCAATGCCAATCAGATCTCTCAGCCGATTGCAGCAAAACGGGGCCTTCGATTTGGTAGTTACCGGATGGGCACCATCGTCGACGGCCAGGCGTCGCCGCTGGCTCTCAAGTCAAAGAAACGGAAGCAGGCAGAGAGGAAAGGGATTTCAAGAGCCAACGGCATCGCTTCCTGCCTATTCAAGTACTGGCGGCAACGCTACTCCCTCTTTTCCAGGTACGACGCCGGCATCAAGATGGACAATGAGGGGTGGTTTTCCGTCACTCCTGAGGCCATCGCTGCCTCACACGCTGCTCATGCTGCCTCCTCGAGTGCCGCCGTCGTCATCGACTGCTTCGCTGGCGTTGGCGGCAATGCTATCCAGTTCGCTGCTAGGTATGATTGGAAGAATAGGATGTAGGAGCTCTAATTTGTTAACTGTCAATTTTTGGTTGGTGACTGGACTTGACTCATTTAGGGGTTTTCTTGTGATTGCTGTTGAGATTGATCCCCGAAAGGTTGATTATGCTGTTAATAATGCAAGAGTCTATGGTGTGAAGGATAGGATTGAATTTGTTGTTGGGGATTTCTTCAGCTTAGCACCTTTTCTGAAGGTAAAAAACCATTTTATTTAATGAGGTCCGTCTTGCTGTTTCTTTGTGTTAATATATTGTATTTTCAATGGAAGATCAATTTATTTATTCGTGGAAGCTGATTTATTTTACGGCATGTTATTTATTTATTATTTTGGAATCATTTGTGACAAATCGCAAGAGTCTGTGGCTCGAACTGCAACCATCTCTTTTAACCAATGAGTCACAGACTCACAGGCCCTTCCACACATGTGCTGTGTAAGGGTAGTAGTATCGGATTTTTATGGTTAACTATGCAAGTAAAATGCTATGCTTTAAAGGTGCAAAGTCAGGTGCTTTTGTATGTGGAACCTAATGTGTCACCTTTTTAAATGAACAAATTATTACCTTAGAAGTTGCTTGCTTGCAAATATTTAAGATTCATGCAGTTTGAGAATACAATTTGCACTAAATACAATGTATTTTGATTTCTCAATGTTGTTTGGTTGGTTATAAAAGAAGTTAAAGGAAAATGATGGGATTGAGGTTGGCCATGTGAGTTTTTGGCATGGGATAGGGGTCTCATGGGATGCTGGCATACGGCCAAGGTCCTGTGGTGTAGTTGTGCAGGGTTGGGATCATGGTCACAGATGGTGGCACATAGAACTAGGAGTCTGCTCTGGGCCGTTGATGTTGGTGGTGATGTCATCTATCAGGATGAGGGGTTGGGGTCTCTAACAGTGTTGGGAGTGCTGAAGGTGTCGGGGATGGGTTTAGGGATGATGCTACATTTGAAATTTGCCTAATTTTTGGTTAATTTGGAATTCATAGATAAATGAACCTTTTGGGTATTCCAAATTCTTAAAAAAAAAAAAACTTTAAATCTATTTTACTTTATATCAAACACCCATAAAATTAAATTTATGTATTCCTGTTACTTTACACTCCAAATAGACCAAAGAAAACAACCCCTTACTCCTTGTATACCATGTCAAATCCTTGTTTCATATATTTAGCAATAAGCTATTTTAGATATATGATAGTTCACTTAAAAATAAGATATTTTATCCCATGGCAAATTATTTCACCAAAAAATAGGCCATGTTACCTACATACCTTATTCTCTGTGAATTACTTTATATTTGGGTGAATTAATCTATATCCAAGTCAATTACCATACTTTTATTTTATTTCGTAGTGGATACCATATTTTTGAATATGCAAAAGTTTAGAAACACACGGGAGATGAGGAGTTGGGAACTAATGTAATGATTTAAAAGACACCACATTAGATGCCATATAAGCAACTAATGTGGAAACAATTTAAATTTGAATTATTTTTTGTGAAGTGTAGTTGACCTGGAATGGTGGAGCTATGGTTTATTCCAATTTATATATTCTTGGAAATCAATAAACCTAGTTTGACATGAATGCTTATCTACACCAAGTATGATGATTTTTTTAAAAAAATGTTTTCCCCCATTGATCTGTATCTTTAAGTGAACCTCTATTATTTCTGAGCTAATAATCCTACTGGCGATAGAACAGGTTGCTATTAGCTATTGATGGAATGGAAGTTATAACAAGGTTCATAATTTTGCATTTTTCAGGGTGATGTTGTGTTCCTTTCACCACCATGGGGAGGTCCTTCATATAGCAGAATTCAGACTTTCACGCTTGATATGCTAAAGCCTAAAGACGGGTATGCGTTGGTGATGCTTACACTTCATTTGTTTGTTCATTTTGAAACTGATAATTATCAACAACAAACTAATAATCTGTTGAGAATCATAGGATGGACATAACTGGCCGAACCAAAATAATTTATATTCATCCTTTTGCTCTTCTATTTTTTCCATAATTCTCATGCAAATTTATCCCATATTTCCCTGTTAGTTCGTCTAATTTCTATGCTCATCAAACAGTGTGCATATTCAATTATGATGACCTGTAGGCTGTTATGTTATCAATGAAAGATGATTGTTAATATTTCATCCCTCTGTTTATTCTCAATCAAAGTAACATGGTAATTGTGCACTTTTTCAACCATTTTGTAGATTAATGTGACTTGATTTAATCACTTCTATGCCAGAATAAATTATTTATATGATTGCAGCAATCATTTTGAATTCTCTGCTGTTAGTTTTGATATGCTCAGTTATTATGATAGAACTAGATAATCCCATTGCGAGATAATTAGGATTAACTTTTTTTTTTCTCTTTGCGTTAAAATACTTTTGGTTTTTCAGTAATCTGCCACTTAAGGCTACCCATATTACCTAATCATCACATTTGAATATTACTGCATACCACAATTACGAAGTTCTTTTTTCCACCTTGGTTAATACTATTCCAGATTTCCGAACAGACGATCCAATAGCTGCTATAGTATCAGGCTTATCTCCACCATAATTAGCAATCTCATGAGAGCTAGACAATAATGGAAAGCTTTTTTTGATATCGAACTTGCTCAGCTTATTGGGTGTAGCAAACTCACCAACTACAGCCAGCTTGTAGTGGCTTGATTTTAGGGAAACTTTTGCATGGTGCTGTTTGGGATGGTTTTTTGAGCTAAGCCAAATCGGATATGCCTATTTTAATGCTTTCCATATGGGCCTTTTTTTCCCATATATCCCAGTTATTTGATAATTAGGATATCATTCAGATTTATGCCAAAGATTTCCTTTAAGTTTGATCAGTTCATTAAAATTTTATGAAAGTAATTGGGTTAGTTAGGGTCTTGTGTGCTTTCCAATAATCAAAATAGATCCACAAAGAGAATAGGCCTGGCTTAGTTTGGACAATCCAAATTCACTGAGGGAGATCATTATGCCACCTCCTTAATGGATCTGGCCACAATCAGGGTTTTTGGGTTATATGATGGAGTTGTGATGCACTCAGTTAGAAGTCAAGAGAGACTACTTTTCAATCTTCCTAAGACAAGGCCGTAGTCTATCAAAAGGATAACAAAAAGAGTGTTATCTTCTTGCTAGCAACCAGGCTTTTGATAGATCCCAAGGGTGTGTAGGTGTAAATCAAGGCTAATGAAGAGGCGATGGTGTGCTTAGAACCTAGAAAGCACAAGGATTGGCTAATTATTAGAAAGGTGTTTACAGAGTACCAAATTTTATTGGGCCTTGATAGCTTCTTCCTCCTTGCAATATTCTCCTTTTGTGTGGATTTTGTCCGTAATTGTCACTCCTCCAAGAACATTTGATATATTTCTTTGATTTCCTCCTTTTAAGCTTTTAGTTTGAGGGGCTTAGGAGAGATGAAGCTTGCAGTTTAGTTCGTGAAAGAAGGGTGGGATGGGGTCAGAGATGCTCGGAAAGTAGAGCTCTAGGGAGGAGGCAAGGAACTTTGTGGTGGAGATGAGGGCATTGTTGGCTAATGATGAGGAGAGTATTTGGAGCTGGAGCATTATTGATGGATATGGGATAATAACAATAGCTTAATGTGGGCATTTTTATAAAGAAAAAAAGGTTTGCTCAAAACTGCAACAAGTAGCAAAAAAGTAGTATCCCAAGAAAAAAAAAAGAGAGTTATTTCATTAAAAAAAAGAAACAAAAAAGCTGCCCCAAACAAACTCTTAGTTTTGATATTTGATTTCACGGTATAATGTAAATGTTATATATTATGAAAACCAAATGATACATCTATGATGTAACATGCTAAGACCCATTATATTTAATGAATAAAAGAATTTGTTTCATATCCAAAACAAATTATTCTATTTATGACAGTGAGTAGTGACTTAATGAAAATGATGTATAAGATAATTGGTTATCAATGATGATGAATATATATTGGTATGATAATTTTATCTTTCCTCTGCTTGTCAACCTCAGTTTGATGTAGTCAACTACACTGTAGGGATTATTTTAGTCAGTTGGGATGTGACATTAACCACCTAGATGTAATGGTTATTAGTTAGTCCCTTCGATCCAATAAATTGGGGTTTATCAATCAAAGAAGTAGACCCTCAAAATTTTGCTCATTAGCCATCAGGAATCTTTTAAACTCGTTAAATACACATAGTTTTTGCATTTGAAAAATGTAATTCTTATTTAGTACAAACTTTCAATTTGCTTTGAAAATACTTTTTAGAGTAATCCATAGAAGTTCATTCCACGTATATCACATGGTGTCTAATGCTAGCAATGATAAGGAAAATTTGACTCAGTGTTGCACATGATATCAATTTCAAATGCATAATAATACATTTATAGCCAAACCCAATAACTGAGGATAATTTCAACTAGTTTTTCTGAGATACTAACCAAAGAATAAATCATTATGTAATTCTTTGATGGATCGACAGAGCCTATGGGCCCCACTAATGTGGGCGGAGGGAAAGGAGAGAGGGCGGCTCGAAGAAGAACAATTCTACCTTTAATTACTTTTCATAGAAAACTAGAATTGGGAGGGAATTAAGAAGGTTTATTTAGGGAAAAAGGGCTAATTTGAATTCAAATTTGGGAGGAAATTAGGAAGGTTTATTTAAGAAAAAATGACTAATTTGAATTCAGAGTTGAGAGGGAATTAAGAAGGATTATTTAATGTCAAGTAGGTTGTTTTATGTTGATTATGAGAATTATTTTTTATTGTAGTTTTCTTTGGAGTTGTTCCTAGCGACTGTGGAGAGTCGATCTACCTCTTGAATAATAGATCAACTTATCTTGGTTTGTTGTGTTGTTATCTTATTCTTTCTCGCTATTTTTGCTGCATTTTCTCTTTCTTATTGTTTTTTTTTCCTATGTGAAGATCAGATTCCTATCAGCTTTGACATCATTTCATTAAGCCAAATTTAGACATTGTTGCCTTAAAACTTAGATCCAAATTAACAAGGTTAAGCACAATTCCCAAGAATTAAAGCTAGAAAATTCACATATATTTACATGCTATGTATTGAAGTTATAATTACTTACCCATTATAATAGAATCTTAATTAGGAAATTCTTGCAAAACCCCTTACAGTACGAAGATAATTTTTCATCTATGTAAACACCTAATTCTTCAAAATTTGGGATATTAGTTCCATACTTGGTCAAGAAGGAAACAAATTCTCGCCCTACACTAAGCTATACACAATTTCGCATTGTTCATTGTTAACCTACTTAATCTAACTTACGTAAGACAATAATATACTTATACGATTATCATTTAATGCCTAAGTGGTTAATTAATTATTTAATATAATAAAAATTTAGGCTTAGGGCTTTACTTTAGCTTCTAACACTAGAATATGACGTGTAAGTCATCAGAGGGGATTGGGTGGAGATCCCACAAACCATCAGCTCTTAACTTTGCAAGCTTACGGCAGAAAGAACTGCTAAACTCTCTACAACCCACATTTGTAGTGGTTTTTGTTGCCCTCTCTGGATGCAGCCATCACCTTTGCTCCTTGTGAATCTAGTTGGGTAGGACAGTTATCAAACTAAGTTACAACAAAACCACAAATAGTGATATAATCATTGGAGAGAGCTACATGAAGATTACAGAAGGAGTTACCCTTGGAATGGCTACATCATTGATATTCCAAATTAATAGACTGACGGTAGGTGTATGGAGGGCAATACTAGAGCTGAATGGTGGCTACATGGAAATGCATCCAGCCTAGTCCAAGATATCAGATATTAATGCCTGTGTACAAATCCTAATCAAGGGTGATCAAACCCTATATCCACCCAAGGTTAATCCGGCCAAGAAAAAAAAAAAGCAGATCTACAATTGCCATGGAAAATCCAAAAGATTTCAATCAAGGGCAAGGGGCCAAAATGTTCCAATCAAATGACAATTATACAATTTAAGGAACCACCATGGAGATAAAGGAAATAAATCGGCATGAAAGGAATTTTGGCCTAAGCTTGATCAACGGAAGATCTCATGTAGGTTTTTGGAGATCTCTTTAGATGTTATGTCATGGCCCGACCCGAAGCCTCAGATTAACGAGACGAGAATAGACGGTCGGACGGTTGATTAAATTGTTTTGTTTACTAAATCTATCTCCAATAAATTGAAAGAACGACTAAAACTCAAAATTTGAAACAAAGTTAAATATTATTAATACTTTTCATCTGATGCGCCGCGCCTATGATATACATTATATTCTCTTTTACTCATTTTAAACTTTGAATAATATCTGTTCATTTATAAAATTAGGAGTCATAAAAGAACTCAGTGAATAAATCATGCTTCTAAACTACAGTAACCCAAGACATTATGAACAATATACATGCTTAATTTAAAACATAAAATAATTCTATTTAATCATTTCATTTCATGACCTTCAATGCTATACTTATATCATATCCATCTATTTATCCTTTCTCATAAATAATACAACCGTTAAATGAGCCATCATCTAAAATAGTACCTATGAAGGTACTTCTTTTTCATTTCTTTTTTCATAATCTTTTCCTTTTATGTGCATGGTGGGTATATTGTGTTTCGAGTCAGTACCATAAGAGGGTGTGCTTCACCAGTCAACATGCACATGCAAATATATTTATCTAGTAATTTCATTTATATTACATTCTTTAACTTTATTTAGAAATGTAAAACATAACATGCTAATTCTGCTCAATCATTTGATATATAAGAGATAAATTATTTTTAATGCAATTAGAAGAAGCAATAAAATTAATCATTTGCAATAACAAATAAATGCAATTAAAAACAATACAATTATCATAATATAGGAACATGAATACTCACATTGATTTAAATAGCGTTTGCACTTTTATCCTTATTCTGACTTCAATAATATGAAACCTATATGAAGATTTTATTATTAAAATTAAAATAATGAATTGCTCTTGATTTAATTTAAAAATGATCATCTTTAAATTATGTCTTCTCTTTTTCTCTTTCTAATCTGCTATTAAAATTTAATAATCAAATAAATGATATTTTGAATTTACTTATACAAAACACATTCATATATTCTCTAATTCCATAGTTAATATTCATAATTTTTTTTTATATAATAAAATTTGCTTATATAAATATACACCATTGATTAGTCTTCAAATCTAATTTTGATTATGTTCATTAGATGGAATACATAAATATTTTAATTTTAAATTATGCAAGCTTAATATTTAAATAGTAATTAAAATTTTATCTTAATTTATAATTCCATTAATTCTAATAATCTAATTGTAAGATAAGATCTTAAGTTTTAAATAATTATTTGCATTATTAAAATTTCTAACATTTTTTATATCTCATAAGTTATATTTTAAATATAATTTTAGTCATTACTCTTTAAAATTTAATTTAAAATTATACAATCTCATAACATGATTAATCAATACTAATAAAGTCTTCAAATTTCCTAAAATAGAAACACTTATCTCTATAAATTGAATTTAAAACTTTCAACAACAACAACAACAACAACAATAACATCAAGCCTTTATCCCTCTACGTGGGGTTGGCTACATGAATCCTTTTTCTCCATTGTGTCATATTAAAAGTCAAATTCTCGTTTAAATCTAATAAAGAAAGGTCATTCTTAATATTTTCTAACCAAGTCTTTTTAGATCTACCCCTACCTTTCTTAACACAAGTCAAATCTAATACCTCTACTCTCCTAACCGGGTCATCGGAAGGCCGCCTTTTTATGAATTTAAAACTTTCCAAAAAAAAAAAAAACATTCCTTTTAAAGTAATTTTCTAAATGAACAGATATTATTCAAAGTTTAAAAGGAATGTTTTTTTTTTTAAAAAAACTTTCTTGATTTATAACATCAAAAAAAAATTCCATACCTTCTCACTTCACACGTGACTCATGCTTGCCATAGCTTCTCGTCCGCATTCACCTTCCTCCCTCGCTAATCAATCCTGAGCCCTAACTTGCACACACGTGTCTTCTTTCTTCATTTCTTTCCCTTCACTTTCTCTCTATTTCCTCTCTTCTCCTTCTTCCTCTTGACTGTTGCTTTCATTCTCTTGTTTGATTCCATTGGAGTGAGCAAAATAAAGTTATCTCTCATCACTACAGGAAAACCTGTTATTACCGGCGGACTAAATCCGCCGGAAACAATGTAAAATCCGACGGAACCTTCATTCACATGATCCGGCTCCGCCAGCTACACTTGTGCCCGTGGTCAGCTCGCTCGTTCTGCCCGTTTGCTCATCCTGCTGTGTCGTTTAAGGCCGTTCACTTGAATTGAAAAACTCAGTTCTTACATGTTACACAATCCTTTATATATATATATATAATGATTAAAAGTAAGATTTCTTGCATTTGTAATAAGATATTGCTATGTCTAAATCAGTGTTGTTACAAGAACATTTTTAGAGTGAACTGAAGCAATGCTTGAACTCGCGCATCATTTGTTAGTGAAATGCAGGCTCGCAAGAAAATGCTTGTCTTGCACTGCTTCGCTATGTTGTGTTGTCTACTTGGCTTCTGCTCAAATCAAAATCTTGTTTCTCATTTCATGTTTTGGTTCAACATCTACCAAAATAACTAGGCACAATTGTTTACATTTCCTTATTGATTCTTATACTCATCAAGTTTTTGCTAAATTGTTCTTTGTTCACAAGAGATTGTCACTTTTTGGTGGTTATTCTGATGAGGACATCACCAGGAAATCTTGGCGCATCTATCACAGGAGTCGTAGATCGATGACTATGATTTGGAGCATTTATTTATGATTTATTTTGTGTATTTCATTTTCTTATTTCATGTTATGTTGAGACTCTTTCCCATTTTACTCTTATGTTGGGTTATTTGTGTGTTGTAGCCCAAGAGGCATTTTAGTATTTTGAGTCTTCATATTTTGAGGCCTATATATTGATGCCTTAGGCTATTGTATGAGCATGATGATTATTATGAATTAAACTTCAGTTTTTCTGAATTGTATGTGTTTGAGTCTTCTTGTGAGAAGAGTGAAGTCCCTAGGAGTAGGGCAACACAACACCCAACAACCGACACTGTGGCAAGATTCTTGGCTCTATTTTCTCTCCCTACTCACCCCACCTTCCTCCATTGGCCGAGTCCTCCAACCCTCTTCCAAACAACTGGTCGAATACAGTCGAACCACCTTCCCTCTTTGCCATTCCCACTCACCTGCAAGCCCACCCTGTCTCTCCTCTCATTGCCTGTCAACCCCCATTTCATAGCCTTTTGGTATTCCCTCCACCTTTCCTCTTCTCCATTGGTTTCCCCAAGGGTTACTACCTCTTCCTATTCCTCTCCTCATTGGCTCTACTTTAATTACAACCTTTCCCCTTCCCCATTAGCTCCACTTTAATTACTTCCTTTTCCCATTCCCCATTAACTCCACTTTAATTACAACCTTTTCTCCTTCCCCATTAATTCCACTTTAATTGTCACCTTTTCCCCTTCCTCGTTAATTCCTAAGAGCTGTTGCCTTTTCCTATCCCCCCATTAGGTCCTAATTAATGCTGTCTTTTCCCATTCCCCCCATTAATTTCCTACACTAGTTGTTATCTTTTGCAACTGCCATTGATCATCGAAGACTCCCGTCCAGTGGTAACTCACCTACATTCCACCCACTACTTTTTTGGTTAACTTTCTATTGTTCAAAACCTTGAGCGTTTACTTCTTCTTTGTGGCATTGTTAGTATCGTATCAATTTTCTTACGCTGAAATTATTTGAAGAGTAAGTGAGGGAACTTCATAGTGACTATTCTAGTTGTTAATCATGGGATTTGTGTGACTCATGGATAAGTACCTATTGTCTTGGTTATTATTTTAGTGTTTCCTATCAATACTTGTAATGATTTGCTATTCCTTTATCACCAATTGAGAAGTCGTTTAAATCAGCTCTTAATCTCCATTTTATTATAATTGCTAAGCTTGTCAATTCATTATTATTCCTAAGCAATTCTTGAATCTAGCATATGTTTCACATCATCTTTTCTTCACATTCACTCCACGAATAGTTGTTATACATTTTCACTAGTTCTTGTTATCACAAGCTTTTTCTTGAGAATACTTCTCAATGTCTCATCTTCACACATACTCTTTCGCTTCACTGCACGTCTATCTCTTTGTCCCTAACTGGTCAAATCCTATGAGTATACTCTTGACTTTAAGTAATTTCTTTCATTATTATTTATATCATTCTTCCCTTTTTTTGTCTTCTGAATCATTTGAAATTATTGTTATTGCACGTGCTATTATATTTACTATAACTCATGAACAATCCGGTTAGTAAAATGATCACTTCACTTTACGCTTTGTATTGAAGTAAAAATGAATCATTGCGCCTTGCGTTGCACCGAACACTTCAAAAACACTGATATACATTATGGGATCTTCGATTTATTTTATGCATTTTTTTAATTGCAAGTTGTAGGTTCAGCATGAATGCAAGTTGAAGTCCTCTCTTTGCTGCTCCATGCTCCATGCTTGTAAGCTTTGAAAATTTAGAGATTGTAAATCCAGCCCTTGCAAAATTAAAATAAAATAATTATCTGAAAATTCAAGAATTTCGAATAGAATTTATTAGAGATCACAGAGAACCTTTAAAATTTACTGTTCCATCAGAAGTTCCGGATATTGGGAGAGTGCATATACATTTGAAAATTCTAAATACCTAATTTGTTACAATAATTTCACTTATGGTTATGTAATTGTAGGTATTTGATCTTTCAGGCTGCTCAAAAAATATCTCCCAACATTATCATGTTCCTTCCCCGTAATGTGGACTTAAGGCAAGTGGAAGAACTTTCTTGGTTATCTAGCCCGCCATTAGCGTTGAAGGTATGGCTTACTGTGCTAAATATATTATCTTGCTCTACGTGATGTCTTGTAGTACGATATCTTTATCTTAGCCTACCTTGTGTGCTTTCACTATTCATAATGGGATTTGGTTCTCACATTAAAACTTAACTTTCTAAGAGACCAAGATAACTGAAAACTGACTATTAGTAACTAGTTTTGCTGTATCAAAAATACACTCTCTCTACTAAACACTTGAAGAGGTTGTGAAGCAGAGCAAAATTGATATTTCTTTTAGTTATTTCATTTTTTGTGCTCAAATGATTTTAATGTGGTTCTTGCTCAATGTTGAATTCTTATTTCAAATGAGTTCGGTTTAATTTTAACGCTTTAGTAAAATTCAGCATAATTTTTTTAAAGGATTCATATCATAATTATTCAACAAATTTTACGCTGGCTGTCGACTACCTAACGCAACCTTTCACTTTTCTTATCCAGGACTTGGGACCTGACAACGACAGTGTTTAGAGCAAGATAATATGATTAATGTTTTGTTGAGGTATTAGATTTAACTTATGTTAAGAAAGGTAGAGGTAGACCTAAAAAGACTTGGTTAGAAAATATTAGAAATAATATTTCTTTATTAGATTTAAATGAGAATTTGACTTTTAACAGGGCACAATGGCGAAATAGGATTCATGTAGCCGACCCCACGTAATGGGACAAAGGCTTGATGTTGTTGTTGTAGTAAAATTCAGCCATAACCAAGTTCAACATGGTTATACAGATGAGCCAGGCTAAAGTTTAGAAATAAGCAACTAAATCTGCAAGGTCACAAATGTATAAATATGGCAACAAGCCTCAGAAAGTTACCAGTCAGTATTTCAAGTGAACAAGAATTATCGTTGGAAATGTTAATAAAATTTGAAGTATACAAAAAAAAGCCTAAGCTTGCAACATTTCTCTCACTAGTGGAAGAACCCATAAAATGCCATAAGGCTGAATTATTGAGTTAGTAGATGAGTCTATATGAGCAATGCTAACATCATTTCAATTTTGTCCATTTGTAGGAGTGAAAAGATTGAACTATAAGCTTATGAGAATTAAAAGAATCTCAACTTAGCTCGTATAAGACTTCTTCAATTAGTAAACTATTTTTTACTGACCTATCCATGAGATTCACTGTTTATGAATACGCTATTTTTGTTCAATATGTTGCCCGTTTATGGCATTCAATCTTAGGTTTCGTTTGGGACAGCTTTCTTCCTGCTTCTTAAAGCAGCTTTCTAGTACCAAAATTTTAAAATTTTGGTACTAAAAAGCTGCTTTAAGAAGAAGTAAGAAAGCCGTCCCAAACAAAGCCTTAATTCCTCATTTCTTTCTTTTGACATGATGATAATGATAAGCTGATTAGAACTATTCTGCTAAACTAAAACATAATATTTTAGCACCTAATTATTATGTTGTGCAGATTGAAGAGAACTACATGGAAACTAGTTTGAAAGGAATAACGGCATACTTTGGTGACATTGCATTAGTACCATCCAAGTCATCCCTTTCGAAAACGGACATAAGTTGATGGTCATTGTAAAGGTATCTTCTTTCTTTTCTTGAAATCTTTTTAATGAGTGATATAAACATGATTTGATGTGTAGCATGTTGTATTTTTATAATCTCGTCCTGGACCTAAAATTCTCTTTCTAAGCCCTGCACCCCATACCTAATCTTTACCAGTAAATCTTTCTCCCTCTCAACAAAACCCTAATGCTATCCCATTCTCTCTATCAGTTCTCTTCTAGGTATATAATGCATGTCATTTGAATCATCCATTTAAATACAATTTGTTGTGAAATACGGTTTATTGTTTTTTTCCATATATATCTATTTTCTCTTAGAGATAGGATACGAAATGAGCATATACGTGGAAAAGGTTGGAGTAGCTCCAGTGGAACATAAGATTAGAGAGAGTCGCCTTAGATGATTTGGTCACATTAAACGGAGGCCTTCCGATGGCCCGATTAGAAAAGTTGAGGTATTAGATTTGACTTATGTTAAGAAAGGTAGAGGTAGACCTAAAAAGATTAGGTTAGAAAATATTAGAAATGAGCTTTCTTTATTAGATTTAAATGAGAATTTGACTTTTAACATGACACAATGACGAAAAAGGATTTATGTAGCCGACCCCACGGAGTGGGACAAAGACTTATTGTTTTTGTTGTTGTATATATGTATTTTCTGGCTTTCTGCTGAGAACTAGTATTGAAATCAGAGAAAATTACACTTGTATATTCTTGTTGCATGTTTAAATGCACCCACTAACAACACATCGCCAACTCCCTTCTTCTTCCTTCATGCCCATGCTAGCACTTTAACCCCTTATAGTTTTTCTTATGATCCTACATTACAAGGCCAGTAAGTTGCAGCCCTTTATGGGGACTTGTTTATATCTGCCTTATACGTGATGGAATTAAGGAAAACTGGCTAAACATGGCTATCTCTTTCTGCTTTCAGCAAGCTGCCGAGTGATTTATTTTGGGAAACTGATGTTCTTATGCCTAGCAAAATATAGCTAAATATTTCAGTGTATTTTACTTTGATAGTTTTTTTTTGGTTTTGACATTTTCTATTCTTCTACTATAACTATCGATACATCCGGCAACACGGGACGCAATGAATGGATGAAAAGACCTGTATTGTACTCACAAAAAAGAGATGAAAATGAAAATAAATATTCATTTTACTAATATGGATTTAAATAACAGTACACCAAAGTAATATTATTAATATAAGTAAAATAAGTCTGAAAGGAATAATAATAATAAAAAAAATCCAACCCTCAGGTAATTATATAATTGACCTACTATAAATATAATCTTTATTGTTGATAGATCTACTCTTGAGGAGGCGGTCTATTAATGGACTAGCTGAGCCTATGGTTCTCACTAGGGTGGGCGGTGGGCAAGAAGAGAAAAGAGGATTAATTCCACTTTAATTACTTATCATAGAAAACTAAAATTGGGAGGGAATTAGAAAATATTTATTTAAGGAAAGAGGGCTGATTTAAATTCAGATTTGGGAGAGAATTAGAAAAGGTTTATTTAGTAGAAGAGGGCTAATTTGAATTTAGATTTGGGAGTGAATTAGAAAATGTTTATTTGGGGAAAGTGGGCTGATTTGAATTCAGATTTGGGGAGTGAAGTAGGAAGGTTTATATTAGGGTTAATTGGGTTGTTTTATTTTTCATTATGTGATTATGTTTGCAGTATTTTTTCTATTGAGTTGTTCCTAACGGCCTCTAGGATTTGTGAAGAGCCGATCTACCTCTCTAATAGTAGATCAACCTGTTTCTTAGTTTGTTGTGCCTTTATCAAAGAGAATTAGCCCATAATAACTTTCTTTCTTGCTTTTTTGTTGCATTTTTTTTCCTTCGGTATTATTGTTTTTAATGTGAGAAGATCGAATTCCTATCATCCACTTAGCACTCTAGTAGGAGCTGCTATGAAAAGTAGCAATGAGTGAGTTTGACAAATCAAATTTAACAAGTAACTCATATCTATCAAAGTATAAATGCCAAAGGAATGTGGCCTGCAATATAACGATATAAACGTGAAAAAAATTGCGATCGGAAGTTAAAGCTCACTATAATAATGCCATATGCCATGATTCGTATGATACATTCTAGTATGCTGGTGCTACAAGTGTATATGCCAAATTACTACTAATGCCAAAATCATTTCAATGTCTATGACTGCAACCACCTTAAGTATTATCGAACCTTAAATGGCTTATCATTCATTCATTATTTTCATTTTTTGTCTAATTATATATTTATACATTTATATGCATAAAGTCAGTTTTCTCAAACACCTTGCACCAAGAAGGTAAACACCAATTCAAAGAAATCTAGTGATTTTTTATAGAGTCGTCACTTTGGGGGCTCGGCGGCCCAGCTAGCCAATATCCAGTATGGTTTTATCGATTGCATACTATTGCACATATGCGTGTTTGCGGCGAGGCGGGTAGGTCTCTAATCGCTCTTGTAGCGTGACGAGGATAAAATAAAGTACTCGTATGTGCCTTAGTGATGTTGAGGAAAAATTGTGCCTATTTTCAAACAATATCTCGAAGACTCCTATACGCTTTTGTAGTGTGGTAGGGAATCCCTAGTTCCTAGAATTTCCCCTAAACGGGGGAGACATTGTGAGGCTGCTGAAATTCCGATTGCAGAGGTCCTGGACTTAAGCTAACTACATGGGACTTGACTTTAAAGAACAACAAAGAACTAAACTACAAGGAATTGAACATTAAAGAAAAAAAAACAAGATATAATAAAAAATGAAAATAGTAAATTGAACAAAGATGAGAAATCTATAATGATGGCGACATGGCACTTACAAGCGATGAACATATCAATATACCTATGGATAAAGAACAACGCATATACAATAACCACAAAAACACTTCTGCAATCAATGTCAACCACTTGTAGACAAATATAACAATTCCCTCCAAACAAATACAACCGGCATGCAATGAGTATAATAACTCCATACGAATATGATACGTTGTCTACAAAAAAGATGGTCGATGTGCAATAAACACAGCAACACCCCCCAATCAACATTAAAATACAAACTAGCACAACTGCTCTTACAAGTAGATGGATTCGACATGCAATGAGCACAACAATTTGATACAATGCGATGAGTTTGAAGTTAATGAAGCCTATATATAGTCAATGGCATTTAAATAGGTATATTAATATGCCAAAAAGCAATAGGCAGGGCTTTTCCGCGACCACGAGCTATGAGTTAGGGGTTTTTCATTCCGCGGCTGCGAGCGTGCGTCTGCTTCGTCTTCTTTGAAGGAGCAACACACGAGCACGCTGAGTAGGCGAGACGAGACGACTTAATGATTGCAGGAAGGTTTGTTTACGCGAGCGCCAAGTAGTAATCTTTGTCTGTCTCCTTCATGTTCCTCGAAGGAGCAACATGCGAGCCCACCGAGCAGGCGAGACGAGATGATCAAGCAAACAAGGATCAAAAGAAGGTTCATTTTCGTCTTTTTTTTTTCTAATATTGCCTTATTTAATAATTTTTTATCATTTTAAATATTATGCTTTGATTGTTATCTTAATTTTAATGCATGTTTTATAAATAATAATGCCGTGTCCGCACTGTATTAGTATCATGTATTTTTAATAATTGACATGTCCTGTATTCATATGATGTCGTATCTGTGTCGTCATATCCGTATTGGTGCAACATAGGTCAAAATACACCTAAAGCTAAACCTAATTGGTTAGGCACTGTTAGAATGGCTTGTAAGGTACTATACTGCTAGCTTTGTTGAGTGGCTCATGTTGGAGAGTGAGGAAGAACAAAATTGTACCCTATTAGCTTAATATTACAACTTTTTTCATGGCTGGGAAGCAAGACTAACATAATTGAAATTGGACTTTATTTGATATGATTGGAGGCATTGGAGAACTTCTTATATTATATTATGTTGATTGAGAATTGAGATTTCGTTTGAGATAACTTTCTTACTGGTTTTTAAAACTGTTATAAAAAGTAATTTTTTTAAAGCTGTTATAGAAAAGAGTTTTTTAGTGTAATTTTTTTTGTGAAAGCAACGAAAAAATAGTGATCAAACAAAAATTATGATTACATTCTGAAAAATATAGTAAGGAAGTTGTCACAATCGAAACATGAGCCGACATATTGACTCACTTTTCGATCGATTCAGATACCATGATTGCCTCAACGACTAATGATTCTACATTCTCCCCCATCTTAAAATCAATCACATATAAATTGATACTGTGTAGGCAATTAATCTTATACATTATCATGTAAATCTTTAATTTCATTTCAAAAACAGCACAAAGATTCAAATAAAAATTCAAAAATTACACAAATCATTAGTACAATAGAAGAAATGTCATGACGGCTCTCACTTAAAAAAGGAACATAAGAGAGGACAAAAAAGATGAGATAAAGGGGAGGCAATTAGCCAATAGAAGACCCAGGAAGTAAACGAACCAATGAACCAGAGTTGAATTGGATAACCATTATACTATAAGGTTCAATAAGTCTTCTGGGGGAGGTAAATCTCTTTATCAATGATCTCATATCTATAATTTCTTAAAGGGTGTAGCCTTTTTAAATATTGTTCCATGGCTCATATTTATTGTGATTTGCTTTTTAATTGTTATTTATAATATTTCTCTTAACATAACCTTTCTATCATCAGTAATATATGAAAAATATTAGACGTGAATTATATGTACATAATTCTACAGATGGTAATAAGTGACAGTACCTAGCTGTGTATTTACTTAAAAATTTTATATGATTGGAGATTAAGGTTGTGCGCAAGTGTAGCTATAGTGGGGAGGAGACTAGCTATAGTGGGGATATTGGCTCCTGTGCCCCGAAAATTATTCTGTGCGGACGCCGAACGTCATTCGGAGACCAAACAGAATGCGTCACGTTGCCCCTTGCTATGCCCGGCTCGGTACCGTGGCTTAGTACCGCTCGGTACTGAGCTCGGTACCGCTGATGTGGCGCATTCTGGTTGGTCTCCGAACGACGTTCGGTATCCGCATAGAATAATCCCTCCCTTAGCGGATCAGCCCAATTCACTAAATTTTCTGTTATTTGAAATTTTAACATGCCTCTTAAATTCGTTGAATTTGCTTTTACATTGGATTTTGAAATGCTCTATTATTCGTGGTAACCTAAATCATTACTCTCCTTCGCCTTCATGACAAAATTATCTGTGCAGAGAGCGGACGTAGAATGCCATCCGGAGACTAAACAGAATGCGCCACGTTAACAGTACCGAGCAAGGGGTGAAGTGGCACATTATGATTGATCTTTGGATGGCATTCGACGTCCGCACAGGATAATTAATCCAGCTATTGACGGCATCGATGTAGAGGTGCTCGACTCGACGTATGTCATATCCGTGTCGTGAGCTATAACTGAATAATGTTCATCTTCTATACTATGCATGCAATCCATACCTAATAGTTTCTAGCAATGTACATCCATCTAGTTTATGCCTTTGTGATAGGCCAGCTGGATTATAATAGTGTAAGTGCCCGGATTGACCCAATGCGGACGTGAGCCGTGACGAATTCCTGGGCCGAACCGGACCGGCCTAATGCCGCGTCAGACCGCTTGCTTATAGCTTATAAAATGGTGTCGGACTTCTACTACAGACTCGTGCGAGCTTCCCTATCAGCGAATTCGTAGACTTTTGGGAATCGGAAGCCTTTCTACGCCATGGCTGAGGTAACCTTCTCTGTCTAGCCGTCTAGGTTACCCACCCTTTGTCAAAATTAGGTTCTTCGATCAGTTGATCCGTGCTATCTTGTTAGACTTGATCCTTGCTTTTCGATTTGTTTCTTGATTTTCTTTCGATCACCGTTATTTTTCCTGGTTTTCTTTTTGAATTTGAGATTTTTATGTTGGATTTACGCGTCGTGTAGTTGTATGCCCTAATTTTTGGAGTGCTCTATGATCGTTTGTTGAGAAGCGCTGCTTTCTGAAAAGAGAGCTTACCCTAACTTGTGTTTGTTCTTATTGCGTTCTTCTATGTCAGTAATGTTAGAAAAAGCTGTGAAATTCTTAAATTTGTTTTGATTTTGTGACTGTTTACTATCTTTTTCTTATCCTTTTGCTCTTACAGAAATTCTTTGTTGCTTTGGAATCTTGTTTCGGTCATTTTTGTTTCCTTTTTAATCAGTCTTGTAATGATTAGCTAGTAAGTTATGCTGTTTGGTGAACTGGTCCGTTTCATTTTTGGCTAAGAGGTGTATGTTTTTTATAGCTTTGTAAATTCGGGCTTTGATGAAGTATGAAGGTTTGTTTTTTCTTGATGGTTTTAGAGAAACAGAAAGAGATTAAACCTATTAAGTTTTGTATAGTTTTATATATTACTTTATATGCATGTTTTTCTGATATATAATTGATTGATTTTTTGAAGAGTATCAAACCAGATAGCTAGTAGAGCATTTGAATGAAGTTCCATGTAAACTACCCTTCATTGAGAATGTCCTAACGTACAGTTTTTAATAAAAAAACTATAAGCATGATCAGAATTTTCCCTTCATTATTGCGTGATTGTTTGACTTTAGAGATCCAGAATGTGTATTCATAGTATAACCATATAAGGTGTTGGATCTAGGCTCGCAGTCTTTTGGTTTGGTTTTTATTAGTTTTGCAGCTACTACATATGTGTATCTCATTTGGGTAAAAAATTGAACCATCTTACAAAAAATTGTATTGAAGAAGCGTTTCTTTTAAATTGTGTTCAGAGTCTGCTGCGGCTATCTATACAATTGTTGAACTTTTATGGGAAAAATAATTTTTTTTTCTTTTTGATAAAGTTTGATATTAATCCTTCTTGCAACTATCACCACATTTGAACAGTTCTAGGTGTCTAATATTTGTTCTCTTCATGGAAATTTATGAAGAAATAACAATAAATTATTGCCAAATGAAAGTTAGGTAACTTTTGTAAAGTGAAACTGTGAAAAAATTACCCAAACAGACCCCTCAACTTCAAAAAACAATTAAAAAAATGCTTTTTGATTGTACTTTTGAAACATTTTTCTAATAAGAAGTTCAAGAAAATGATCCCTAAATATTATAGTTTTTTCTTAAAATTTATTGGCATCTATAGCTCGGTGTAATAAGGTCAAGAACATAACTCCCTATCTTAAAAAACAATTGAATTACTAAACTCTTCTAATCTTGCATAGGTTTAATACTGGACTTTAATTTTGTTACTACATGTCTTCAATATTGTAATATTTAAAACAAACGCAACTACTTCAAAAAGCAACTTTTGAATTTTTTTTGGTAAATTTCTTAGTTCCTTACCAGAATTTAGTGAGGATGAATTTGAAAAGTTTTGAATTTATTTTGATCCCAGTGCAATATAAAAATTAGTTGATTATTTATGTATTGTATTCAAAGCTTATAAAATGGTGTCGAACTTCTACTACAGACTCGTGCGAGCTTCCCTATCAGCGAATTCGTAGACTTTTGGGAATCGGAAGCCTTTCTACGCCATGGCTGAGGTAACCTTCTCTGTCTAGCCGTCTAGGTTACCCACCCTTTGTCAAAATTAGGTTCTTCGATCAGTTGATCCGTGTTATCTTGTTAGACTTGATCCTTGCTTTTCGATTTGTTTCTTGATTTTCTTTCGATCACCGTTATTTTTCCTGGTTTTCTTTTTGAATTTGAATTTTTATGTTGGATTTATGCGTCGTGTAGTTGCATGCCCTAATTTTTGGAGTGCTCTATGATCGTTTGTTGAGAAGCGCTGCTTTCTGAAAAGAGAGCTTACCCTAACTTGTGTTTATTCTTATTGCGTTCTTCTATGTCAGTAATATTAGAAAAAGTAGTGAAATTCTTAAATTTGTTTTGATTTTGTGGCTGTTTAATATCTTTTTCTTATCCTTTTGCTCTTACAGAAATTCTTTGTTGCTTTGGAATCTTTTTTCGGCCATTTTTTTCCTTTTTAATCAGTCTTGTAATGATTAGCTAGTAAGTTATGCTGTTTGGTGAACTGGTCTGTTTCATTTTTGGCTAAGAGGTATATGTTTTTTGTAGCTTTGTAAATTCGGGCTTTGATGAAGTATGAAGGCTTGTTTTTTCATGATGGTTTCAGGGAAACAGAAAGAGATTAAACCTATTAAGTTTTATATATTTCTTTCTATGCATGTTTTTCTGATCTCTATTTGATTGATTTTTTAAAGAGTATAAAACCAGATAGTTAGTAGAGCATTTGAATGAATTCCATGTAAACTACCCTTCCTTGAGAATGCCCTAACGTACAGTTTTTCATAAAGAAACTATATGCACGATCAGAATTTTAACATGGCGTGATTGTTTGACTTTTTAGATCCAGAATGTCTGTTCATAGTATAACCATTTAAGGTGTTGGATCTAGGCTTGCAGTCTTTTGGTTGGGTTTTTTATTAGTTTTGCAGCTGCAAAATGGGTGCATCTCATTTGGGTAAAAAATTGAACCATCTTCCAAAAATTTTTATTGAAGAAGCGTTTCTTTTGAATTGAGTTCAGAGTTTGCTGCGGCTATCTATACAAGTAATTGTTGAACTTTTATGGGAAAAATAAGTTTTTGAAAAGTTGGTCTGGGTATTAGATTTTTTTTCTTTATGATAAAGTTTGATAGTATCCTTCTTGCAACTATCACCACATTTGAACAGTTCTAGGTGTCTAATATTTGCTTTCTTCATGAAAATTTATGAAGAAATAACAAGAAATTATAGCCAAATGAAAGTTTGGTAACTTTTGAAAGTGAAACTGTGAAAAAATTACCCAAACAGACCCTCAACTGCTTAAAAAAGCAATTAAAAAAAAGCTTTTTGATTGTACTTTTAAAACCTTTTTCTAATAAGAAGTTCAAGAAAATGATCCCTAAATATTATAGGTTTTTCTTAAAACTTGTTGGCATCTATGTTTGGATGTAATAAGGCCAAGAACATAACTCTATCTTTAAAAAAATTGAATTACTAAACTCTTCTAATCTTTCATAGTTTTAATACTGGACTTTAATTTTGTTACTACATGTCTTCAATATTGCAATATTTTAAAAAACGCAACTACTTCAAAAAGCAACTTTTGAACATTTGTTGGTAAATTTCGTAGTTCCTTACCACAATTTAGTGAGGATGAATTTGAAATCTTTTGAATTTATTTTGATCCCAGTGCAATATAAAAATTAGTTGATTATTTATATATTGTATTCAAATCAAATTATAAAATTTCAATATCTATCCTTACCAATTTTTTATTAGAATATCTTCAAATAATTTTTCTTTCCTCCTATATATCATATCATTGACATACTTATTGTTGTTTTAACTTCTGTTTGTTACTCATATTCTTCTCTTTTTTGTAGACTGTTGTCCTCAAAGTTGCCATGTCTTGCCAAGGTTGCGTTGGTGCTGTGAACAGAGTTTTGTCAAAGATGGAAGGTCAATCACTCAATCTCTCTTATTGTGGGGATATTATTTTCTTATTTTATGTTTTTTTGGAATCTTGAGCGATAAATTATAAAATGTGTGACTCGAACCCTGATAAATTATAAAATATGCGACTCTAATCTCTGAGTTTGAAGAAACAACCTTCTTCAACCAGTGGATCACTGGTTCCTTCTTCAACCACTAGACCGAGGGTTCTCTCAGATGGTGCTATTATTATTTCTTCTAATTAGTATATAAGACATTATGTTAAGGTTTTGTTTGGGACGGCTTTCGTACTGCTTCTTGGGGGCAGCTTTTTAGTACAAAAATTTTAATTTTTATAATAGAAAGTTGCTTTAAGAAGCAATAAGAAAGTCGTCCCAAACGAGCCTATATCTTATAAAATTTATCTGTATGTGATAGTAAGTTCTAATTTTTTTTTTGGGAATTGGGTATCCATCCGGTGGCACCCCCGAAAGTGCGTTTGGCGGCGTGACGAATCCTCGGCTGACCTAGAAGAGGCACCCACTTCAGAAATCTCCTAGCCCGCACTTGTTGGACCCCACTTAAGATGCGTTGTCGCTCGAGGGGAATCGAGCACGGGTTGGGGGGTTTCCAACCGTACTCGCCCACCAACCAAACTAAACAAGGGTGGGTGTAGGTCCTAATCTATGTTTTACTGATTTCAGGAGTGGACTCATTTGAGATTGAACTTAAGGAACAGAAAGTGACTGTGAAGGGTAACGTGAAGCCTGATGCAGTGCTGCAAACTGTATCCAAAACAGGAAAGAAAACAACTTTCTGGGAAGAAGAAACCAAGGAACCCTCTCCTGCTATAGCTAATGCTACTGCCACTGAATGATTCGGTATCAGCAAATCGTCCCATTATCAAATACTTCTCCTTAATGACTTTGATCTAAATGTTATTGTGTTATGTGTACACTTATTGCTAGTGATTCCATCCTGGACTTCCTAGCAGTATTTTTAATCTATACTTGTCATCATATCTAACTTTATGCTTTTGTTTGGCTTCTCTTTTAAAGCAGTCATGTTACTGTTTGAGAAATAAAATGGAGCTTATTTGCGAATTTTTTTGTGCATTATTTAGGCTTTATTTGGGACGTCTTTCTTACTGCTTCTTAAACAATTTTTCAGTACAAAATTTTTAAATTTTGTACGAAAAAACTGCTTTAAGTAGTATGAAAGATGTATCAAATGAAATCTTAGCAAATTAATTCTGTTTGGAAGTTCATTTGGTTGCTAGGAGTTTGTGAAAGTGAAATTTTGAGGAGATGAAAGAAAATTTTGGAAGGAATTAGTCATGTAAAAGGCATGATTTTAGGAGTAGAAGAAAATTTAAATATTCTAAAGAGTCTCTAGTGGGCATGCTTTACTGGAGGACTATCATCTGCCTGCCAAAATCTTTAGGTCATCAATTTTTCTTCTTGTATTTGAGCAGATAATTTGTTATAATTTTTGGATTTAGTTACCTACTTTTATTTAAGAGATTGACTCTTCCTCACTCACATCATGAGTATTATGGTATGGCACCCTCATTCAAGTTAGGTTTAATTCTTTGAAATCTGCTTGTGTTTGGGCTCGAATTTAAATGAGCCGAACACGAATGTGATGTTCATGAACAATTTTAAGAATAAGACAATTTTGAACGAACAAAATATGAATATATTGCAAGTTTGCGCAATATGAATATATTACAAGTAAGACTCAACAAGACAAAGATTGGAACTAAGAGCCTTGAAGATAAAGAAGGCAAAAGGGCGTTTACCCACTTGAACGGTAGTATCTCGCACAACATCTTCATGTTCAAACTTCCTCTTCATCAACCTCGGAAGAGGAAGATGAAGAGCCTTCAAGCCAATCAATTTGCATCTTAACACTTTCTCCCGATCTGACGCCCGCATGAGCAGATAAGGCATTGGCAGAAATTACAACAATAGGGACATCAACAAGCTATTCGATAGAGGGAGCCGACACAACCTGAACAGTAGGCGTCACAGACGAAGCAACAGATGAGACCACCTCATGCGTAGCCGTCAAAGCCAAATCAACAGAAACTTGAGGTGATTCAGCATGATCCAAGCCACTAAACAATTCATTTCCCACTTCCCTATTGACCTCACGGGATTTATTATCGACCTCCTTTGAATGTTCCACATCAGTATTCAGAAGCACAGGCACAACAGGCAATCCCGCCTCACCGACGGGAGGATCAAAACCATCAACATTAGCGTTAAGGACATCTAAATTCTCCTTAGCAAGACCATCCGCATCCAGAACATCCAAAACCAAAGCCACGGGGTCACAAGAAATTACAACATTACTATCACTTGTAGGAAGCATAACATCATCCCCATTCCTAATTTCCACATCGGTAGTCAATGCATCAGCACAAACAATATTATTCTGACAATCAGAAGAGGGAAAACCATTAACATTAATTGGAGGGGTAATGTAGGAGGAGTATTAAGATTATGGATTAAGTTGCGGCATTCCTTTTTAGTGACCTAAAGATTTACAAAAAGTACAGTAAGGAGGAAAATCATCCATGATCACCGACTTAATGTATCCCAAATTTTCAGGGCCAACCCAAATTCTATCTGGAAATTGTTTGGTAATGTCTAACTCCATAAGGTCACGAGCTGTAGAAGGAAGAGGGTCAGTTGAAGTAGCATTATCGGTTTTTAAAGGCCGACCGAAGATTGAGCCAAGGCCATGCAGGATTCTCGAGGAAAATAGGTGAGGTCGCAAATGAGGAAAAGAGACCCAAATCAGAATCATAAGTGATTCAACTTCCACATCAAGTGTAAGAGACCATTTCATCAGTTTCATATAACAATTGTTAACAGAGTAAGATCGATGCGAAAAAACTCTACAATAATCTAAATCATCAACATGCTTTATCAAGATATGCCTAGGGTTAAGCACTGTAAACGAACAATCACCATTCAATTTTAGATTGAAAAAAACTTCCTAATAACATAAATTGAAGGTCTACGGTTGGGGAATTTGCCAACCAGAGCGAACTCAAAAAGAACGGTAAGTGCATTGATTTCTTCTTCGGAGATCAAAAGAGCTGGCAGCCCCGATGCGACGAAATTTTGAGGTCAGGGAAAGAAGACGAACTAAGGGAAGGACTAGATAAAGCATCTTTGAAAGATCGGGATGAGCTCCCATTCAAAAAACCTAAATCCCTTAACCGATTACTTGTCATAACTGATAAATATGTAATTTAGCTTATTTCATATTATTAAAGCTGACGTGTACTCAGCTCTTCTTGGTTCTTGTATAAGCCAAGCTCCTGAAGTCTTGTATAGCTGTGTACCGTGTCATTAGCCTATAGCCTAAGCCTTTCTATTTATAGGACTGTTGTAACATCTTTTTCAATCAATGCATATACTTTTCCTTTGTCCAACGGCTCGTTCTCTTCCTTCTCTGCCATTTCTCATGGTATCAGAGCACGGTGTCCCGTGAGACCTTTCTTTTCTTCTTGGTCCGATAGATCGCTCCTCCCTCCATGGATAATACAGCTACTTCGTCCACTGCTCAAGATCATCTCCCAACTTCTACCTCTTCATCTGAAAACCTCACCATCCCCCCTCAATTAAAATTCCTTGTTAGCAACATAAAAAATATTGTCTCCCTCACTCTAAATTCCGACAACTTTCCCATTTGGCGATCACAAGTCTTCAAGATTTTTTGTGCCAATGGCTTTGAGGGGTTTCTTGATGGTTCCTGCACCTGCCCGTCACCAACGTCTTCAACCAGTTCTTACTCGCATCAATCTTGGCTTCTTGTGGATCAACATCTTGCTGTAGCTCTGTACTCGATCATCTCACCCAATCTTCTTCCCTATGTTCTTTCTTTGGAGCATTGCGCTGAAATCTGGGATACTTTATCTCGACGACTCCAGTCGACGACTCGCTTGCGCCTCATCCAGCTCCGCAATGAACTACATCACATCTCCATGAAAGATCAAAATATGACCCAATATCTTCTCAGCATCAAATCCAAAGTTGATGCTATTGCTGCCACCGAAAATCCGGTTGATCCTGAAGACATAATCTTATACACCTTAAACGGCCTCCCTCCACAATATCAAGCTTTTAAAACCGCTATTCGAACTAATCTTCAGCCCATCTCCTTAGATGATCTATATACTCTTCTTTGTAGCGAAGAACAGAATCTTGCTCAAGAAGTTACTCGCGAACTTCACAATCTACAGGTTGCTGAACCAAACATGGCACTCGCAGTCACCCGCGGCCGTGGACGCGGTCGTAACAAATATACCCGCGGCAGATTTCCTGGCACACCAAAATCTGGTAGAAACGACTCAACTCGCTCAGAAAGAAACTCCGCCAATATTGTCACTTGTCAAATCTGCTTCAAGAAAGGCCATTCGGCAATTCGATGCTGGCATCGCAATGACTCGTCTTACAACGACGAGTCCCAACAATCTGCGCTCTTCTCACCCGCGGATTCCACCAACAACTCCGAGTGGTTTCTTGATAGCGGCGCTACCAGCCACCTTACCGCTGATCTGTCTCAACTTACTGCACCTCAAACTCACAACGGCTCAAACCAGGTTACCCTTGGCAATGGGCAATTGTTGCCAATCCAGCATTCCGGCAAGGGCATTTTACCCACGCCCACTGGTAACCTAAGCTTAAAGCATCTGTATCATGTCCCAAACCTCTCATTTAATTTAATATCTGTTAACCGTCTTGCTTCCGATAATCACTGCATAATTTCTTTTTCGTCTAACGGTTTTCAAATTCAGGATTCGACCACCGGCCGCCTTCTTCTTCAGGGTCCGTGTGTTAACGGCTTATATCCACTTCAATCGGCTACCTCCAACAAGACACTCGCACTTCTTTCTACTCAAGATATTCCTAATCTGTGGCATCGGAGACTCGGGCATCCATCTGCCTCTACTCAGCAACATTTAGCCAATAACATTACTGAAATCTGCTTCACTTCACAACACTCTCATTGTAACGCTTGTAAGATGGCTAAAAGCCATCGTCTTCCTTTTCCTAGATCTTCTTCCACTACTTCGTCTAGTTTTGAATTGGTTCATTCGAACATTTGGGGACCTTCCCCCAATGTTTCTTTACATGGATTTCGCTATTAAATTTTGTTCATTGACGATTTTTCAAAGTTTTGTTGGGTGTATCCTATGATCAAGAAATCCGAAGTTACATCTAAATTCATCGAATTTAATCGAATGATAACTCGTCAATTCAATAAGCATATTAAAACTTTTCGATCGGACGGCGGTGGTGAATTTATAAATACTCAATTTAACTCACTTTGCAAACATTGGGGCATTCGTCATCAATACTCTTGCCCGTACACTCCAGCTCAGAACGGCGTCGCCGAACGCAAACACCGGCATATACTTGAAACTATCCGGAGCCTTCTCTTTGAAGCTAATATACCACCTTCCTCGCATATTATGCAAACTAGATCCAAAACAGGACACTCCCGACCCAAAGTTATATTCAACCTGCTTCATCAATCTCTACCCAATGACCCCACCTCCTATACCGAGGCTAGCAAATTCGAATGTTGGCGAAAGGCAATGTCCGATGAATTCCACGCTCTTCAATCTCAAGGAACGTGGGAGCTCGTTCCTCCTCATCCATCTCAAAACCTTCTCGGTTGTCGCTGGACTTTTCGTACCAAATTCTTATCCGACGGCACCATCTCTCGACATAAAGCCCGACTCGTCGCACAAGGATTCAATCAAGAATACGGCCTCGACTACACCGACACTTTTAGTCCTGTAGCTAAAATACCTACCGTTCGCGTCCTCCTTGTTGTCGCTCTCCACAAGAATTGGCCCATTCATCAATTGGACGTTTCGAACGTGTTTCTTCATGGCGAGTTATCTCGTACTATTTACATGAAACAACCTCCAGGGTTTCTTGACGAACTCTACCCAAATCACGTCTGCAAACTGAAAAAGGCCTTATACGGTCTAAAACAATCTCCCCGTCAATGGTTCGCTATGTTATCCGGTCATCTCCACACCCTCGGGTTCCACACCAGCTCCTCCGATCCA